TAAAACTAGTCATGAGTTCATGAGTTCGTCTCTGGTGACGGGGGTAGCACCCTCCTCCGCCTGAGGTTGTCTAACAGGCTTGCCGCCTGGGTTGCTGGGACAAGCTTTGTCTTGGCTCCGTTCCCTTGTTTCCTTGGAACGGGTGCGCCTAGAACGGAATGATCCGTCTGGGGCCATGTAGGTTTCGACGTCGTAGTCGTCCCCACTGCCACTCTCATGGTCCGTATGGACCTCATGGTCAGCCGGAGGCCGGCTGCCCTCTACATTCGGTACAGGATCGGATACCATCTCAGTAGTACTCTCCCCACAGACGGCGCCAACTGTTTCGGGTGTTTTTAGTCCCTCGAGAGAGTTACAATACGGAGTATGCGCGCCTGACTTCTGTACCTGCAAAACCACGAAACTCCAGTTGGGTGGAGTTCCGCCTCCGACGATCAAGTTAGTATGATTTACGGATGGGTAATAGTGCGGAAGGTAAATAGGTTTTTCTCACTGATTTAGAAAGATTGCGCAATTAATATTGCTCGGGTTTCGTGTATGAATTTATGAATGCCCAATAAATGAGGAGGATTCCTCTATTTATAGTAGGGGAGACATGTTCCCTGATTAGGGTTGTGATGCCACTTGGCAGCATCCGATTGGATCCCGTTGGGCCTTTGGTGAGCTGCCACGTGTCACGATTCTACTGGGCCATGTGGCATTGGGTATTTTTACCCTAAACAATATCAACACTATTGACCACCTTCACATTATTACAATCAACACAAGGACAATAGAGGCAATCGAAACCCATTCTGCGCTGATAAGATGAAGCCCTCTCGCAAAACTCTTGAACCCCATTAAAGAATTCCAATGTATCACGTCTACCATGAATCCAGCCACGATCCTTCTCCATTAAGTAAATTGTCTCTAAACATTGCAACATATTACGAATCATGTATAATTGCTACCATCTATTATATATGTAAATCAAATTCAAACACACAACATGCATATAACATTCATATAGATACAAAAATGCATATATGCTTCCAAAGGGCCCTTATCACTCCAACCTAACCCATCCTTGAACGTTTACTCTCACTAGTGAATGTATATCGACTTTCCAATTTTAAGGAAAATCCAGCAGCATTTCCCCGTAGTTCTCCAAGTACACGATGTTGGTAATAACTTACCCACATATGTACCCAGAGAACATGGTGATCGAGGAAATGGTAAGCTAAGATGTTCCTTAAAATCGAAAAAAAAGACATACATTCACCACCTAAGTGAGAGTAAACGTTCAAGAACAGTCCCAACCGGGGACTATTCAAGACTTTCTCCTAATGAGAAAGCCTTGAACAGGTATCTAGGCATATGATGATGCAAGCATTTCACATATTTATTGTTGTATTTAGTTTGTCATGAAAAAACTTTTATTCAAAGAATATAGAGAAAGAAATATACATAGCTTATTAGAGAAGTTTATAATTCATACCAATACAATGGATGTAATCTTTCTAACTTCCCACTTGAGCTAAATATGTAGTCTTCAAGCTGGTATTGAACTTCATATCACATATGAATCTATAAAAACGCAAAAAAGAAAAAACAAAAGAATAAACAAAAGTTAGTAAGTATGAGAAATGGGTAATAAGAAAATATAGGGGCATATGATTAAGGAATGAGAGAGAAAATGGGGCAACAAACCACAACAACCACAAAATTTATAACACTACTTAACCCTATATATCGCCTATATATCAAATTTATCGCCACAATGTATTTATACATGTTTGGTTCGCATTTTTGCAATTTTATATGACCTATTACTACTGAACCCTGGTGGCTAAGTTTTATTTATTCATTTTAGTAATTGCAATTTTATAATTCGAGAGATAAGTGGCTAAGTTTTATTTATTAATTTTGCTCCCCTACTACCTCACTCAAACACCTACACCAAAACACTACACATCTAGCCCGCATTCCCTCAGCTCCATTGTAGCCATACTACTCCTAATCACCGACCACGCCAAACACCCAACACCCAAGACCTTCTCCACCCTTTGCAGCTAAACATCACCTCAAATCACTACAGCAACTCACAACAGTAGCCACACATACAATAACACCACCAGCAGCAGCCACACATACAACAACACCACCACCAGCCCTAGAAGCCCCCAACAACCAGCAAGCAGCAGCCCCAAAACCCCCCAACCAGCATGCATATATATAAAATAGATGTCACACGTATACAACATTAGCATAATTTGTTCTATTCAAGCAACATACTCACATACAGATTAAGTAACATAGCTAAAAAATCAAAACAAGAACTTACATTTCATAACCATATACAAGCTAAGTATATATGTGGAGGGTCGTTGTGGAGGGGGGCCTTGCGCGTTTATTTGACAAACCCTATATTACAAGAAACTTACAATTACTAAAATGACTCGCAAATCCTCAAAAATCCATGAATGGGAAGGAATTCAATGGAGAAATTGAAACCTGGTATACTTACCTCGAAGATGCTTTAATGGAGGAGAGATGAAGGTGGTGCGTGCGGCGGCAACTGCTCCAATGGAAGGTCTAAACCCGAATTCAATGGAGTGGAAGCAATGCAAAGAGAAGAGAAGAGGGAAGCAATGCAAAGAGAAGAGAAGAGGGAAGCAGCGAAAACAGAAGAGAAGAGGAAAGCAGCGAAAACCAGAGGCAGAGACGTTAGAAGCAAAGGGCATAATTAAAACACCCGGGTTTTTTATTTTTAAACTTGCACCGGTTCAAACCGGAGCTAATTGCTGTAATTGCCACCGGTACTCTCTAAACCGGTGCCAACTCCACTCCCTGCTTCAGTTTTTTTTTATTTTTTATTAATAAAGGATGGCACCGGTTTGAACCGGTGCTAATTAAGCTATTTGGCACCGGTTTAGGTTAGAATCGGTGCCAACTCTCAAATTTCCAATCCCGCCCATTTATTTTGGCACCGCTTTTCAAGAACCGGTGCTAAGGGGGGGTGCCTAATTCAAATTTTCTACTAGTGGATGGCTGACCTGGGCGGTCTGCTGCCCAGACTTCTTTTCTTTTCTTCTCTTCCTTGTTGGCCGGCTGAGTAGGCCGGCTGTCTCTCCTGTCAGACCGCTTGGGTTCCGACGGGTGCTTGATGGCGCAGAGTTCAGTTGCCTGTATATAGGCCTCAGCCTCCATCAGCGCCTCCTGGAGGGTAGCTACCCTCTTACGGACAAGGTCAAATTTAAAAGTTGACCCATCCTTCAGACCCTTGAAGAAGTCTGTATATGCAACTTCGTCAGACAGTCCCTGAATCTGAATTCTCATCAGATTGAACCGCCTGACATAGGACTGAAGTCCCTCCTTGTCACCCTGCTGGATAGCCCCTAGGTCGAGACTTGTCTTTTTAGCAGGGATGTTCATTGAAAAGTTAGACGCAAACAGGTATGCAAGCGTCTTAAAGTTGTTGATGCACCTAGCCGGCAGGCTGCCAAACCATCGTTGGGCTATGCCCTTCAATGTAGCCGGGAAGCATCTGCACCAGGCGGCATCATCTAACCCCTGTAGGTACATGAGGTTGGTATATGCCATAAGGTGGTCTTCCGGGTTGGTGGTACCGTCGTAGGTATTAACCAACACATTTTTAACCTTGGCCGGCTGTGCCGCCTCGGTTATTTCCCGGGAGAAAGCCGAAGGCTATTGCCCAAGGTTTAGCAACCGGAGCTGCCAGCCCATAGGCTGGACCTGGTATGCCGCCTAACCCCCAAAAGGAGCCGACTTCATGAATGGAGATCCATACGGGGCGTATTGCTATTGGGGCACATACGGAGCCTGCTGGATCACGTGAGGACCAGTACGTGCGGACACGCCGCGTGACTGACTCTCTTGCTGCATCTCCGAATGCTTCATTGAAGCATTTTGGAAATTGTCTGAGTATGTCGACGTAGAGGCCGACTGAGACATGCTCTAACTTCTCTTCTCCTGGATGAACATCAAGGCGTCAGAGAAAGTCTTCTTTGACCCATCCGGCTGTGTATGCCGGATGACCTTCCTTTGCCCTGATTCAGGGAAAGTGAAGCTTGGAGAGGTCGATCAGGGGCCCTTCCGTCCCCTTGGGTTTGGGGTGAGGAGTAGGCACCAGGTCTTTGATTTTCTTCTTCCCGGAGGGAGAAGGCTTCTTCGCCAGCTGACCCTTGTTTGAGCTAGTTGACTTCTTGATAATGTCCTTTATTTCCCCTTTGAAACTTGTCATGAACTTCATGAGCTCGTCTCTGGTGACGGGGGCAGCACCCTCCACCGCCTGGGGTTGTCCCACGGGCTTGCCGCCTGGGTTGCTGGGACCGACTTTATCGTGGCCCCGTTCCCTTGTTTCCTTGGAACGGGTGCACCTAGAACGGAATGACCCGTCTGGGGCCATGTAGGTTTCGACGTCGTAATCGTCACCACTGCCACTTTCATGGTCCGTATGGACCTCAGGGTCAGCCGTAGGTCGGCTGCCCTCTGCATTCGGTACAGCATCAGATGTCATCTCATTAGTACTCTCCCCACAGACGGCACCAAATGTTCGGGGGTTTTTGGAGTCCCTCGGGAGAGTTACAATACTGGGTATAAGCGTCTGACTTCTGTACCTGCAAAACCACGAAAACTCCGGTTGGGTGGAGTTCCGCCTCCGAAGATCAAGTTAGTATGATTCCGGATGAGTAAGTGTGCAGAAAGTAAAATGGGTGTTTCTCTCTGATTCTGGGAGATTCCGCAACTAATATTGCTCGGGATTTGTGTATGTATTTATGAATGCCAATAAATGAGGATGATTCCTCTATTTATAGCAAATGAGAATCTGCTCCCCCATTAGGGTTCAATGCCACGTGGCATCCTCTTATTGGATCCCCTTGGACCTGTATGAGGGTGACACGTGTCAGGCCCTCATTGGACCACGTGGCAGGGGTAATTACATTATGATGATTTCAGAATCACTTTATCATATCCTAAATGTATTGTGAATTACTTGTCTTTTATTCTAAAGATTTTTTGGATTAACAATTGCTACAATGAATGTAAGAAAATCTAAGAGTAATCATTTGTACAGAACAATATATACAACTTGGTCTACCCTACATTATGACCGATCAAAGGTGATACGTGACGTGGTTTCTCAACGAAAGGAATTGGAGTAGTCACGTAGTGAATGTATCTTGAAAAAACATCCCCGGTGAACTTAGCTTTATCAGCATGCCATACAACACAATCACACATTGCTTTCCGACTAGAACAGGTCGATTTCCCATTCATTTTTATGTCATAAATAATTTTCGACACCACCCTAGTCAAAAAGAGATCCAAATTTAAAAATTTATAAGTGATTATTTGTATAGGAGATTGTAAGCTGGAAGATCTTGTACTCTTTGCATATCATCCAAAGACAACTCTCTCTCCAGTTGTGTTCGTGTTGCTTGTAAAACATCCTGCACAAAAGGGCAACAATTACATAGTTTGAAGAAAGAAATGGAGCCAATAACAAAGATGTCAACAACGGGAGGGTATAAAGGAACCAATACATTGAATTGCATGTACGAGGCATTCATAGCAAGCCATTGGCCGTCCATCATTTCAAAAGCAATACAAAATAGAACATCAAAGGCCTCTTCATCTTCTGCAAGCAACCAAGGGAAATAGAGTTATAAAGGAAAACTTGAAGATGATACACAACAAAATTATGATGAAATTGATCTTAGAAAAATAGAAATAATATTCTAATAATCCCTACTTTATTACAACTTTGTATTATTATTTACTAATCCGAACTAGAATCCATATTCAATTTTAGTGGCACTTATTGTACCCGATTATTCATCCACGTGTCACCATCTAATTTATTTAATTATTTAAATTATTTTAAAAAAAAGTCATATTATTTCTTTTTCCCCTCACCATGGTAGACCACCTTCCCTTCTACCACCCACGAGCAAGCCTCCCCCTTCACATGCGAACCCATCTCCAGCCTCCCCCTCACTAGCTCCCATCTCAAACCACCTCCTCAATGACGACCCCGTCTCCTTCCTCCCCCTTATCGAAAACCTCTATCTTCTCCCTCCGCCCCCCCCCCCCTAGAAACCCCATCTCTCTCCTCTGTCAACCACATTTCTTCCCTCCCCATACACCAACGGCCTTCATCTCACTTGTCATCATCTTCTAGCAGAAACCCCCTTCTCCAAGTCCTCGTTCTTCCCTCTTCTCATTCCCCTTTGTTAAGAGCAAATATGACCCCCAAAACCTAATTAAACAAGTTTTCAGCACAAAAATCGATGGTCTTTAAAAATAATAACATAGAAATTAACTATATTTTCTTAACGAAAATTATTAAGTGGTGAAATAATATAATATGTTGTCTTTTAATAAGTTCTTAAATGAAAAAAATATTATTAAAAAAAAATGGTTATTGTTAGTAAAATGCAAAATATCCTAGAAATTAGATTAGCTTAAAACTACAACAATTCATGAAGTATGTTATGAGTTATGAGTTTATGACCTTTTGTAGCTTTGGTATTTCGTTTTAGTGTCCCACCGAAATTTGATAACAACTGACCATTGCATGTAATATTCATTATTGTGAGTTATATTTTGTAATTGGTACACATGGTATACTACATAAGATACTCCCTTCGTCCCATAATACAGTATTTGTTTCTAATTTTAAGGTAATTATTGAACGTGGAGCATAAGAGTATACTTATAAAAGTTAACAAATAAGTACGATACAATGTTATAAATTTAATTATTTAATATGTTTGCAAAAAGATTATTAAAGCAAGTTGAAATTAATTTAATCGATAATGGATGTTGAGATTAAAGAAAAATTGTTGCAATCAGTTTGAGATTTACTTGCTCCACTAATAGAGTTGTCAATTTGAGTGTTCAGATTAGATTTGAGTTAGGTTAATGCAGGTCAGGTCAATTTGGCTAGGTCATGTAGGGTTTGATGGGCTCATCTACTGGGGTTCAGTTTGTGTTGTAATATTCAAGTCAAGTGATGCCAAGTCATGCATTTTATTAGGTTCAAGTTGGGTTCATGTTGAGTTATGTTCAAGTTGATTCATTTCAAGTTTAAATCTACTCAATTCAGGTTTGATATGGGTTTGTTAGTATGTTATTTGGGTTTAGTTTAATTTTTTGTCATGTCGATTATAAGTTGGGTTGTCGGCGAGTTCTGGTCAATATTGGGTCGGGCCATTGTTGGATCGGGCTACATTTGGAGCAGGTTGGGTTATTATCAAGTTCGTGTTAAGTTTATTATCGACTAATTGTAAGATCAACGGTTAGGTATGGGTCTAGTTAAGTACATATCAAGTCAATATCATGTTCAAGTTTGGTATAAGTGACTTGAGAATTCAAGACCCAAACTCGAACATGATTCGACCTGTAAATGACTCAACTCGAATATAACCTGCAAATTATTAACCTCGTCTAAACCAAGCTCAAACCTGAAATGAGAAAACTCGATTTAACTCCGATCCTTAAACATCAACCCAGCCTGTATATCTTAAGCTAATTTCAAATTAGGTCATATCAGATTCAGTCAGGTCACTATTATTTCGGTTTCAAGCAAGTAAAATTATGATCATTCCCAAGTTAATTTTTCGAGTCGTGTCAGCTTTAGACAGTCCATCAATGAAGAATATTTGAAACTTAACTATTAATAATCATGCTTAAATGTTGGGATTAAAGAAATAAGAAAAATGATAAACATAGTCCTAAGGGCTATGTATAAGAAGCAAAAAAAGAATATATTGAAGATAGATTAATATTAATTACACCGATCTGTGTGTGATTTTGTCATGAATTTCATTTTAATTTCATTTTAGGAAGTATATTTTATTTTTATACATAACCCTAAGGGCTACATATATCACAACCGAAGAAATACTTTATTTTCAATGAATATTTAATAATGCAGCAGGCATATATTGTCAAAATAAAATTGAGACATTGTTCAAATAATATTAGTGTTGTGAGGCTAATTTGTTAAATGTGTTTTTAAAAAACAATATTTTTTATTTATTTATTTATTTATTTGTTTATTTATTTATTTTTGTTTTAAATGAACATTTTAGGACTATACACTTAAAAACTAATTAGTACACTATATTATGGGATTGATGTGTAATAAACAATAAATGCAAGTGTGACCCGACCCAAATAAAGTTATATTGATTTCAATGACATGAATTAATATACCTATCCAAAAAAGTAGTTTGGCAATCTAAAAAATAACTCACCTCCAAGCATCTTAACAAAATTCACTCCTGAAATGCATCTTGGTTTATCTGCAATGAGTAGCATGCATCAAACATATGATTTTGGTTGTAATAATGTTAACCAACTTTTAATGCTTTGTTTTATTTTGGTTTGTATGAGTAGTTTTTATAGTGTGTGTGGCTTGTACTTTTTAACTTAGTCTAGATTGTAATAATATTATTTCGTTTAATGATCTCTTTGTCAAAAAAAAAAAAAAAAAAAAAAAAAAAAAAAAAAAAACTACATATGCGCACATGTTATTTTTTATGATCCTAATGTAATGAGACAATAAAGAAATTCTTTAATTTGTATATTGTGTAAAGAAATATAAAAGTTGCCCAATGGATTAAGAACTTGCATTAAATTACTAAGAAAGTAATTGATAATAAACGACAATGATTATACTTCAATGGCTAGCTTTGGTAACTACAAAAGTGTTAGAGATATGAGATATCGGAAAATATATGTGTGATATAAGTCGAGTTCATACGAATTTGTCATGGTATCAAGAGCAAGTAAGATCTTGGGAGTGTTCATAAAAATATCCCCTCCCCCCCCCCTTGCCAGTGGGTTAGATAATTAAACCTACCGTGGGATAAACCTTTAGCCAAAAATATATTTAACTAGATGAAACCCGTGTGATGTACAGTTTATTTGTATTTTTTTTAAAACAAATATTTTTTTTAATGTATGTGATAAAAATTATTATTTTAATCGTTATACGTATTGTATTATTTTATTTTCATTTTAAACTAAATTAAGAATTTTCTCGCTATATATTAGATAAAATTTCTAATATCAAAAGATAATATTGAATATTTAGTTAATTTAAACTTTAAAATCTCATTCGCCAATTTCGCTTATGTGGCATTTGAATTATTTAATTCTAAAAAATATTATAAATCTCTTGTTTGATTGGTTATAACTAAAATTCACAATCCTACGTGGCTCTCTAAGAAGTCGGGAAAAAACTCCCCTTTATATATTAGATAAGATTTTTTTAATACTTCTGCTGTGCACATTTAGTGCCTTTGAGATACCTTTTTGATATTGTGATTGATGGAATAAACATACGGTGGTATGTGATGATTTGGTTAAGTTGGAGTGTATGTGTGGGTTTCCTCCAATGTTGCATCTTTATGGAAATGAAGAAATTTCTTTTAAAAAAAAAAAAAAAAAAAAAAAAAAAAAAAAAAAAAAACTCTCTTGTGTTATGAGACAAGATATATTGGTTCTCCTTGTGTCGTGAGACAGGGTTTGTAATTTGATTCGAGCATGATTTTGCTCCTTTTGATATGAGTTTGGTTTTGCTCTAAAATAAAACCAAAAAGAGATTGAGTGTGGTTTGTTCTGAACAAACAATATTTGATTAGAGCTCGGTTTTGCTTAGAAAAAACAAATGAGTGTGGTTTGCTCTGAAAAACCAATATTTGATTGGAGCTCGGTTTTGCTCATGAAAAAACCAAAATTGTTATATTTGCAAGTTCGAAATGAATGACGTTCCTGCTTGATTGATGACTGGTGAGTTCGAAAAAGATAAACGTTGTCATCATTGAAAAAGAAGGAAAAAAAATTGAAGGCAACATCACCAAAGTAGTGCATCTCGACTTCAACCAAAAAAAGAATTTCCAATCGCAACGTTCGTGTTACTGCCATTACGATTGCGGGAGGGTGTTAGAGATATGAGATATCGAAAAATATATGTATGATATATTTTCCGTAGATATCATTAAGAAAATAACATATTTAGGTTTATTTATGTATATTAGTTAGAGAATATATCTTTAGGTTTGTTTTGGGTAAAATTACCCTATGCCACGTGGCCCAATGGTATGCTAACATGTGTCAGCCTCAGAGAGGCCCAATGGGATACACTCCTCTGCTGACACGTGGCACTGTAACCCTAATAGGGGAACTGATCTCCTTCTACTATAAATAGAGGAAAGTCCTCATTTATTGCACATTCATGCACCTTCATAAATACATATACAAATACCGAGTTATATTAATTGCAGAATCTCCTGGAATCCGAGAGACCATTTACTTTTCCGCACGTTTACTCACTCGGACGTATTCTAACTTGATCATCGGAGGCGGAACTCCAACCAACCGGAGTCTCCGTGCTTGTGCAGGTACAGGTGGTCGGCTACCAGTTCTAGTGTTGTAACTCTCCCGCATGACACATCAAAAAACCCCGAAACAAGGTTTATGATTATGTTAATATATTTTTTAGGAAAATTGTTTCCTATCTTATGAGCGTAGGTTTTGTATAACAGCCCGTCTTGTGTGTGGCTGGCCACACCATGTGGCCACATATAAAAAAACAAAGTAACCCATATAACACTAATCAAATAACCCCTGTAATACTGACCGAGTAACCCCGGTAACACTGACGAAGTAACCCCTTTAACACTGACCAAGTAACCGCTATTACACTAACGAAATAATCCTTATTATGGTTGGCCACACCATGTGGCCAGCCACATATAAAACTTTGAGTTTGTATAAATACTCTATCTATTGATGAATAATAAACAGGTCATTCTTTAAGTTTTTCACCCTAAATTTGTCAAAAAGTAATGTATTTACAATGGCAAAATATCTGCTTCAATTTCTCCGTTGTTTTTAGTTGCATGACTTTGTAAAGTGCGGATTTCTAGACAATATATTATTGTAAATAGTCTTCAAATTGTGTGAACCTTAGGGTGGGAAAAGTTCTCCCACATGGAAAGAAAATAAAAGCATGCATGTGTTTATTAATTTGTGTGTGCTATGTGTAACAATATGTTTGGGCTTATGTAATTGAAATTGGTCATGGTTATACTAGTGGTTTGATTAGTAGTATTTTTATCAATATAATATTTGATTAACATTGCCAATTTATTTAAATTTTATTTTTTATTAATTATATTGATGATTTTCGGATAGAATTGAACGGCGGTTATTTTTGGGATTAATAACTGCCATGTCAATCTCTATATAATCAATTTAATTGACAATGTAGATTATCAGTTATTTTATTCTTCTTTCTCACACAATGCTTCACAAAAACATGTCCATGAATCCTTATGCTATGTTTTTCATTCTAAGAAATTGGAGAATCATAGGGTAAATTAGCATAGGTTATCCCAACAGCATGTATATGGGGAGGGCTAATATTATCCTAAGTACAGCATAATCTCGTCCTATTTTAGTGTATTTTTGTATGTTCCATTGTATTTAGTTTAAATTTTCGGTATTGTAATTTTTTAATGTATTTGGAGATGAGAGAGATAGAGAGAAAAAAAAAAGAGAGAGAAAAAAATAATAAAAAAAATCCATCATACATGTGATAGGAGAGAGATAGAGAAACTTTATTAACTAACTAAGAAAGTGAAGCAACTAATTTGAAACTTCCATTTTAGAAAAGTGATGCTACTAAAAAGAAACGAAGGAAAGTAGAGAGCTAGCTTAAAACAATAGGTATCAAAGCTCACACAGGCAAACCTGAGAATAGATCCAACATCTGAATAAGCATATAAGTCACATTAATCCCAGCCACAGCAAAGGGATATTCCCACATTGCTCTCTTGCCATCTTGCTTGTGCAATAGCTTGTGAAAAGAGACCTGCATTTGTAAGTGCATGAAGTTTGAGAAAACATATTCAAGTTGCTAAGACAGAAAACCAATGAATAACATAAAACAATCTAAAAAGAAATTAGTGATGAAATCATAGGAACTGATTTAATCATATTATTATAACTATATATAAGACTAGTGGAGTAAAGAGAGAATTTACTGGGTATGTTCGGGCAAAAAAGAGCAAATTCTCCAGTGATATGAAGCCACAACCCCTGTATTTAATCATAATGTAGGAAAAAATTTCATGAGGATGATAACAAGATCAATTGATTTCATAAATTTCTTTCTATATTTAACATATTATTATACCTATTAAAAAAATAGCCAACATTAGCTTAGTGTTAAAAAATTATTATATGACATAGAGCAAAACATGTATGAAGCAGACATGATGATATCCTTAAGTTCTTCTTTGTACAATATTCTCATTTTAGATCTATACGAGTTCATCATTTATCAAAACATTTAACATTAAAGACACATAAAATCAAGGCTAGGGATTAGGTTCATGAACATCCAAAAATGGTAGTGAAAAAAAAAAAAAAAAAAAAAAAAAAAAAAAAAAAAAGAAATAAAAAAACAGAGATTGTTTTATTGATAGTGAAGTGACACCAAATAAATCCGAATATTATCTACTAATTAGATTATTAGTAATGAAACATGGTTTGATTCTTACCGAATCCTCATAATTCCATATTACACGCATTGGAAACATCATCTATGCTAATTAAACTTTATAATTTAAACAAAATTTTAATTTAGAACTGAACATCATGTTATATGCATGGTGCTTTATGGACTAGAAACCCCCTTACCTAAAATCTGTTGATGGATTTGAGCCTTGCCAACCCATATCTTTCCATTGTTCTGAAACCAAACCGGTAAGACGGTCATTTGGAAAGGCAGCATACCACAATGCTTTTAGCGATTCCTGTACATAAACACACATTTATTGTCGATTTGCTAGTGTCTAATTGCAAATGAACAACGTTTTTATCAAAAATATATTGAACAATCATATCCAGTGTATATAAAAACAACATTCAAGTCCTATGAAATTAGCATAGAGCTCTTTTTTGCTCGTAGGTAAGGCACAGTTTTATTTTAGGTGCATGAGCCATGAGGTTCACCAAAGACACACATAAGACACCATAGTGAATTTTTCTAAATATGCACCTCACGACACATCAATCGAAGCGCACTGGCCTAGGCATAGTAGGACCTTTATTGATTTAGGTGCACCTTGAGATTTTTTATTATACATTGTTCATACCAATGCATCATTATAGACAAATTTTAAATCCCCAAGCCAACAACACCTAATGAAGTTATAAGATTTAAAAAATGTTATTGTTAAAAATATTTGAAGGTGGCTAAAGCACAACAAGCCTTTAAGGAATAAATGAATTTTCAAGTTAATTAATTTTCAATTAAAATGTTAGGGATAACTAATAAGGTGTGGAAAACAACAAGAATTACATGATGACCACCTATTGTTTAGCTATGATCCCTTGCATGTTTAAATAGCTAATTGTAAACCCTATATTTTATTCTTTGTTTGATTGTCCTCCTTCTTGTGTTCATTCTCTTTTTCGATTTGGGAGGCACTGGTAATGGATTCAAAGTGGATAGAGAAGTACATAATAAATAAAGATTTTATAAATTAATAATGTTATAACTAATTAGAACTAAGATTTAGCGACTAACAAAATAAAGTGCAAGGAAGCTTACTTGATGATCAGAGCGAGTTTCATCAAAAGAAACTTGACATCTGTCTCGCAACCTTTGTAACCTTTGTTCCTGGAAAGATGTCAAAGAACAAAAAAAGAAGCGTCGATTAAGAATGTTATAGTATAAAAATTCTTCCCAAACTAGATATTTCAATAATACAAAAGATGTGTAAGCCCTAAAAGTAGGTCCAAATAAGGAATAAAAGCATATTGATTCAACGCATTATAACAAAAATAGTTGTTGATTAGACAGTTGTATAATTAAAGAGTATTATGCTATCTATTGTGATAATAAAGGACATTATATTATATGTAAGATGAAAAAGCAAACAAGGTATTTAATAATGAGTCAAGATTGATATGAGATTGTTAATGTGCTAAGGTAATAATGAGACACTATATAATTCTATTCATAAATCATGTTGTGAAGATTGTATGAACGCACTGCATATAGTTCTAGTCCTTGATGATGTAATAATATTCCTTAGAAAGAAAATTCCTTGCCCAAGTTTGAAAGTTAATTTAAACTTGGCGTTGGGCCGACCAACTAGTGGTTTAATTGTGTGCATATGCTAGTCTTAATTGTGTGCATATGCTAGGCTTCAATCCAATATCTCATTTTCCCAAACTTGGGTTGGCCTAAAACATGTATGAGGCAAAAGTAGTAGTGCATTTGTAAGGACCGACGTGTATTGTAGATTGTGCTTAGCTAATCCACCATAATGGCTGATTTGCCAAATGCAATATCACAAATAGTAATTGCATTCATTGAAAGGATACAAGATCACCAAAAAATTAAGTCAAAGTGGTATGATATTAAATTAGGAAAGAAAAAAAATTTCTTGGTTGTTAACACAAGGAAATAAAAGAAAGTACAATACATGGAAATTAATAAGGTTTACCAGATGGGATGTTAATTGAAATTCAAGAAACTTTTCATTTCCATGACGCCTAAGACCTGAACGATAGAGAATTCCACCAAACCATGTTCGGGATCCAACCATAGCACTAGCTAGAACCACTATGTATAGACATCAATAACAAATCTGTGTATGTAGAAAATAATATGTTATAATTAAAACCAAAAAAATCGATCAATACAATTTGGACACAGCTCTACTTAATACCAACCACATTAACACTAGTAAATTATTTGACATTCGAACACTATGTAAACTTACCTCTTTCTCATTTCTAAATGATATCACATTCTTCTCTATTTTCTTTTAAATGCAATACACTTTTTTAACATATTTTTTAGAAGTTGATTAAATTAGATAAATTAGCAACTTTATCGAAAGATGAAAATTCAATCCTACACCAAAAGTTGGCAACATATGTGAGCTTACAACACAAAGGCTAAATATTTAGTTAATATATTTATTAAAAGAATAATCATGGACAACGACATTGCTGAATTTAAAATAAAATTCTACACAAAAATATTCCAAAAATCAAAACAAAATATACATATAATATTGTATGACATGGGTATAATTAAACTAATGAATATGGGCATGATATTATACTTCATACATAGAAAAACAAGAAGAAATGCATCGATGAATCCTTAATCTCATACTATTAAAAATTGTAAAAAAAAAAAAAAAAAAAAATAATAATAATAATAATAATAATAATAATAATAATAAAAACCTTTAAATTTCGTGAATTCACTAGATTTTTTTTATCCCAAATGAAAAGGTAATAAGGTAATTGAAATGTACATGGTAATTATTATGTATATATGATTACATTCTTAGTTGTAAATATTTCAAGATAGGTAATCATTTGTAAAACTACGTTTCATTCTTTCAATATCTAATCTACCCACCCAAGAACGGTGAGAGACAAATCAATGAAAATTTTCCAGAAAAAGATTATCTATCTATTTTTTAACAGAAATTTTAGAAACATCTTTCAATTTGAACATAAAGTTTAGTTAGAGAGATGCCAAATTTTACAACTTGTTAAATAAATAAATGAAAGCTACATGTGTATAAACGAAAACTTAATTACCTTTTATTGTAGCATTTTTGTAGTAATTTGATGATGGAAAAAAAAAAAAGAATTATTGAAAATGGAGGTTGAGATAAATTAGAAATGGTTAAGGGAAAGAGAAAGACGAAACACGTCGTGCAAAGCTTGTGAAGGTGAATTCAGAGGAACTTAAAAATGGCATTTTGGATTAGAGGTGGTGAGGTAAAAGGAAAGAGAGGAAGACAACGCAGACTATATCAACAATATAAAGGACATTTGTTAAACAAGTATATTAATCACTTGGTACTTTTGTTTCCTTATTTTCCTTTCTTTGTGAATACTAAGACCGTATAGCATTGTAAATTAAATTGTCACATGGCAACATAATATTTTTCTTTCTAATTTAACGGAGCATAGAGCATTTCTTATGGAAACTAATTTTGTTTCTAGCAATCTTGTATCCCAATGATTAGCTACCTTATCTTTCTATATATTTAAAAAATAAGTAGTTCATTGCATACAATTCTTCATCCTTTTTGTTAAGAAAATGTATGTCTTGGCCAAGCTAATTTCAAAATTACACTCCGATGTCAAGTTAGTGATTTGTGTCTTTTAAAAAATGAAATAAGTTCTGAACTATAAAGACTAGTTATGCTCTAAAACTCAAAAGTTTTAATTTAAAAAAATAAGGTGACCTACACTATGTACTCTATATATAGGACGGTGTATTCTTTTCACCTTAAAAATTAAAAAAAAAAAACAAATTAGTTCAATTAATGTTAATTAGGTTCCAGTTAAAAAATTAGGTTTAATCCACGAATTAAATTAAATTTCTGACGGAGTTAGTGCGCTTAGATTAAAAACAAGACCTGCCACTGGAAAATCTGCGCGCAACTCAAGAAGTCGATCTCAGCTGATGCGTGCAACTTTATAGGTTGCGGGCAGCGCATCACCGCGGTATTCAGAATTGCGCTCATGCAGATTCAGAATTTCTTACACATATACTGAATCGAATCTTACCATAGTACCACGCGTAAGAACGGAGATCACGCTCTACTGCTCAGCGCAATTAACAAACTTACGCGTGCCCCCTGCCACGGCAGCATTGTCAAAACCCTAATCCTCGCTGTTCTCTTTGGGTAGGGAATAATTTACCAGCTTTGAACATACAAAATTCCCAGAAAAACATTTAGTAACTTCATAATTTTTGCATTGATTTAACCCTCTTGTCCCAAACACTCGCCCCTTTGATTATTTTGTCCTTATGGTGGAGGTTCCTGAACAAGAAGGAGTCCATATGCATTGTAAGCGATGATTTAGCAAGGAAAAGTGGTAATTCCCGAGCACTTAGTTAAATCACTTTCTTTTTCTTGTCCTAAAACATCTTTAAGGAATTAATTAGTGTTGTTTGTTCACTTTAAACAACTTTCAATAAATTAATCCATAAAGCATCTTGCGTTAATTGTGTTGGGTTTTACGGTGTGCAAACACCGCAGGGAACCAAAACCCGCCGAAGGAGCACATGAACAAATTAAAGAGACTAAAGCAAAACATGCATATAATTAATAAAACAATAAACATTTTTGTGGCCCAAGCACTTATTTGTGGATTAGAGTACGAAAGGCCCTGCCCCAAAAACGAATAAAATAGTCCTTTTTTTTGGCAGGTACCGCCACACGGCTTAATTCCAACCACTTCCTCAGGAAGAGGATAAAGGAGAGAGAGATAAAGAAGAGGTAAAAGACGTTCATACCCTTGAAGCGTGTTTTCCACTTAGCACGAACACGAACTCACAAACGGAGCTAGAGCCTCAAATGCGACTCCTCCTACGCAGTCCACCCACGCGCCCAAAGTTTGGTCAATATTATCGGCTAGGGTAATATTAAAACTACTAACAAAAGGATCTCATTTTAAGGTTTTCTCAATGGAGACGCCTTATATACAGTTCAACTCTTACAATCAATTCCCAAGGTAAGCCTAGGGTATTTATAGGATAAGCATATCCACCCTTTTGATATTCTATCAATGTAGGACTTTGCAAAGTTGAGAAATAAATGCATTCAATTTAATTCTAAAACAAATTAAAATGAAATAACAAATAATCTAACAACAAGTGGCAATCACATGGGAGGGTTAGCTGAGGACCATAAGGTCCTTCTTGCCCCACAAGCAAAAAAACCAGACCCTATAGTCACGCCATGTGGCAGCCCAGCTATAGGCACTAAGGCTGCCTTGATGGGCCTAACAGCAGACCTCGTAAGTTGGCGCTTACTGCGGGCTTGCTGGCGCGCGTTGCTAGCAGGCCTACTGCGAGCAAACAGCATGCAGGCTTGCTTGGCGCGCCATGCTGCTGCTATTTGCGGTAGCACTAGGCTGCCAGCACGGAAGCAAGGCCAGCAGCAAGTTGTGCCTTGCGAGGGCTATTGGTGGCCTAGTGCTTACGGTATGCACTCAGCCAATAGGCCCCCAACTAGTGCGTGCGCGCACCATGCTAGGCTTGCGGCCAATGCTTGCCTTGCGGCATGCTGTGCTAGCCTAGCCCTCGCATGGCTAGGCCAATGCAAGGCTAGGGCTATGCACTTTGACTTATTTATTGTTGTTTGACTTATTTGTACGTCTCATTAATTCTTAGAATTTAACTCGACGTTCGGCATTCGGCTTCAACGCTCTAAGCTTGGAATCCGACGTTGGAGCACGTATCCTTTTGTTTAACGTATTAAGACTTTCGCTTTAATTCGTCGCCTTAGTTTTGGCTGCACGCTTGGGTGTGACTCATTGGGTTCAGTAAAAAGAAAGCTGTGAGATTAATATAATTAATCTCACCAATCGGAGATGGCCTCTAGTCCGACTTTCCGATCACTTGACTTCACTGAATAATTAACTCTGTAATTGATTATAAACCCTCTATCGGAATAATACACTTGTTTGAAGGACGCCATTCCTTTCAATCTCCCACTTGTCCTTCCGGACAAGTGTGCAATATGCTTCCTATGTCGCTTAATGTCTCTTCATGAACTATAAGGTAAGACATATCGTCATCCATATTACGTTCAGAGGTGTTTCTCGAAATTCCGAGTTCGACTGCCAAACACTAGACGAAAATGGTAAAAGGGCACCGGTTCAAACCCCCCCTCTAGCACCGGTTTTGAACCGTTGGGGATTTGAGGGATGCCAAATCCAAGAAAATTTGGCACCGGTTCAAAACGGTGCCAACTAAAGTATTTAGCATCAGTTAACCGGTGCCAACTACCATGGCGCCAAATTTTTTTTTTATTTTCAATACTATTGGCACCGGTTCTGAGTTAGAACCGGTGCGAAAAACCCCACTTTAGGCACCGTTTAAACCGGTGCCTATAGTCTAAAAAAATTTTAAAAAACTTTTGGCACCGGTTCTGGTCCAAACCGGTGCCAAAAATACCCTAAAAAAATAAAAAATAATTTTTTTTTTTTTGCATTTTTTTCACTAAAATTGTTATAGAAACATTAACATATATATAAAGTTACATTATTTCATTAAAAAAGGCTAAAATAATACAATTTTAGTCCACAAAAAAATTTGAAGTGTCCAAGGTTTCTGGCTGCTGTGTGTCTTCTGCCTGCACTGGTACTGTTGTCCTGGTTCTGCACTGCTACTGCTGGTCTTATGATATCAAAGTAGACTATGCGGACTTCCATTGTAGCAGAAAGACCTATTTCAAAGTCAGACGTTTAACTAATATCAAGCCATGTATATTAACCTCAAAAGTCAAGACATTGTTTAATGAAGGTGAATTAAAAAAAGATTATCTATGAAGCATTAACGCCCTAGCCTCTCAAAAGATTTAGCACCCGTGCAAAAATCACTATATCCCCAGGAAAGGCATCAACCTAAAAGCAACCATTACAATTTTTACAAACACATATGACAGGAGAAATAGTGTAGCAATCGTAGCATCATTCATTGAAACCAAGTGTACTTATAGGACTAAATCGTTTAGCTTCTTTGTCATCAAGCTTCATTTTTTCTTGTAAGGCTTTCATTTTTTTTGCTCTTTCTTCTGAGAAATTCTTCAATGTTTCCTGGACAGAGAACATGAAATTAGTATAGATTAGATTAAAAAACAGTGACCTTAACACCAAACTGGGCACTCACAGCAGCTTTACTTGCGGGAGTTGAGTTACGAAAGAATACTGTTGTCACTTCCATTGCCTGCTCAGGTAAGTCCATGCACAACTTGAGTCCCATTTCTGAAAATGCAGACAAAAGGGCCACATGATCCTCCTGTTGTTGAAACAAATATTTCGTAAGACGATAAATATGATCAAATAGAAGTTCTTAGATGTATATTATCTTTGAGAACTCAGTAAAGCGCATCAAGGAAAAAAGAATTTTAAACTAATCAAAAACTAATTATAAAATCAGATTAAATGAAACAGCAGCTACACTAGAAACAAAATGTAACATAGATATTAAGGTTGCAGGCAATCTGGAAGAACAGAGTGATTACAGGATCTGTTGAACTGCAAATCATTTCCCAAATAACAGCCTTCCATTGAACCGAATTCTCAAACTATTTTCCAAAACAAATTTAATGGATATGAGACGGACACTGGATTAAACAAAACACATAATCTTGTTATTTCTTCCAAAGTAAAATGATTAAAAAAAATGTTAGGAAATATAGTTTGTTTTAATCGGTTAGACTGGAAATGGCTCCTTAATTTGGTTAACTAATGATGAACTGCTATAGACTTTCAAAGAAAACAAAGAGTAATTTAGGAGATTCACAACTTTTTTCACGTTTAAACCAATATTTGCTGTTTTGGAAGAAAAAGAAAAGTAAGAATTTTATATAGACAGATTTTTGTCATCACTTCCTTTCCTAATCTGCTCAACCATATTCCCAAGCTTTTGCTTAACACATGTTGCCTCTATGCCCATTGCTCAAATTTATAAGAACTGTGAGCTATTTTTCAATTTTGTAAATAAAACCAGACACACAGATAGTCAACCAAATAGATTACCACACAAGCAAAAACTTAATCTAGGACCAATGGGGAAGAAAGAAAATAATAAGAACAAAAAGGTCATTCATACTTCGTATAGCTTGCTTCTAGCATTCTAGTTAAACCAATTACTCCGTAACACCATTGAGCTATCAAATAGAATGTAAACTTCACCAAATCAACTGATAGGTCATATAATAGAAGGCACTCCAGCAAACATACACACTAAGCCATAGAAACCTATCTTACTGCTTTAAACTAGGGCAAGCAACCAAGACAATGTTACTTAGTTCACCTGACATGTCTAGCAAGAAATCCTGCCAGAAGTTGAGGGATTGCCAGTCACAACTCACAAGTATCTGATACAGGGAACTAAACAAACAGAGAGCTTCAGCGTTATAAGAGTGATGCTGAGCATTAAGGGCAAGGTGATATTATCTTCCAAAAGTTTAGTCAACCCATGAATTTGTGAAGCCAATATATCTCTACTTGAAGGTTCTCTAATTTGGTTGGATAAGCTAACTGTTCTCTTTTTGAACTAATAAATTACACAACATGAAGGTTGCGATTTAGAAAATAGGAGCAACTCAACTTAACTTAACTACTATTAAGTAAATAGCTCAAGTTTTCAACCAAACAACCAAACATCAAATCTCAACCTTCAAGTTCAAAAACTGATCAAATCAAACCCAATTCATCAATTCCTAGATTCGAATTTGACCCAATTCTACTCACACTTCAATTTAAATACCAGCCTTATAGCCGTTCAATTCTACTCACTCTTCAATTCTACATCTGAAAATGACATACAACAAAAAAGTATGAAAGACAACCAACACTGATCCTGATTCATCCCTCCACTGGTTGTAATAAGCAGATAGCAAATATTGTTGTGGTACATTGAACCAGGTAGCATTAGAAGAAATATATTGACGTAAAACCCCATACAATTTCAGATGGAATTTGTAGTTAATAGCATTAAGAAAAACCACAAAATACACGACAACCAGCACTGATCCTGTGTTTCCCCTCAGCTCCTCAGCAGTAACCGCTTATAATCAACAATGACTAAACAATTACTATTACAACCAAACATACTAAACAAAAAAAAAAAAAAAAAAAAAAAAAAAATTAAGACAACAAACCTCTTTTAGCAAACAATTTTTTTTTTTTTGAATCCGCATCAAAAACCATATTCTATATACATTGGAGTGAATCAAAATAAGCAAAATCAAACAACTTAACAATTCAAAAAAAAATATGCGGTTAATTTAATAAAAGTTTAAGACCTTAAGCACATCTTTAGCAGCGTGAGGAAACCCAGGCGAAAAGAAAAGAGAAAAACAAAATATGCGGTTAATTTAATTGACCCCTCACCTGAGCAAATAGGAAGATGGTGCATAATGTCACCCTGACCACCCACGAAACCTGTAAACCCCCCACAAAACTGCCTCCCCATTGACTACCTAAAAGAAAGTCAAATCCAGAAAAACCTCAAAGTGAAACCCAAACCCAGAGAACCCAAATCGAAATTAAGAGGGTTGCAGTAGTAAACTAACCCTAGTTTACAAGAACTAACCCTAAATTCGAAAATCAAATAAACGACAAACCTTAGATTGCGAAAACTGAAATCGATAATCTAAAAAGGACAAAACAAATTTTTACCTCAAAGCTGCTTCAATGAAGGTGAGAAAGCTCGAATCCGCTTCAATGGAGAATTAACAGTACGCGTAGTGGAGGAGTGATATGGACAAAGCTTAGAATGCGCTTCAATGGAGAACTACGAGCACGCGTAATGGAGGAGAAATATGGAGAAAGGTGGTCGAAGCTAAGAGAAGGGCGAAATTAAACGAGAGTTAGGGTTAACAGAAATGAAATGCAGGGGGGAAAGAAAGAAAGAAAGAAAGAAGAAGAAGCAGAGAAATGAATACCTGATTTTTTTTTTATTTTGCCCGGGTTTTTTTTTTCAAAAATGGCACCGGTTTAAACCGGTGCTAAATACCATATAAGGCGAACTAGTGCCAACTTTATTCCATACCTTTTTTTTTTTTTTTTTTTTTTTTTTTTTTTTAAATTGGCACTGGTTTGAACCGATGCTAATCATATGATTTGGCACCGGTTTGATTGGAACCGGTGCTAACACTGAATTTTTCAATCCCGCCCATTTCTTTTGGCACCGGTTTTCACGAACCGGTGCTAAAGGGGGGGTGCCTATTTCAATTTTTCTAGTAGTAAAATACAGATGATTTCTAAAATCCATTTGAGCACGATCATGTATTTTCACAGTCTTGCTCTTCGAGAGGCCTTGTAAATAACAAAGACATGTTTCCTATTGTTAATAGGAGGGCATTCCCAATCTTATATTGATAAGCTTCTCTTACTAAGAGAACTAGTCGCCCGAGTGTCATCTGTATAATCCCCTTTTAGGACAGACGTTTGACCAACATCAAAACAGACTAGCACTCTTAAAAGCGAACTTACAGTACGTATGGTCGAGAAAAAAGGTACCGATAGCAATAATTAGAAATGTATACTTATGACGATTTTAAGTCACTTAAAGTATTCTCATAGGTCGATCCGGTATAGTTCCAAACTAATACTTTTGCAAATGATTTATGACATTCTTGTCCTTGTAGTACAAGAAATAGTGCTATAAATCATACTACAAACTAATCTCGCGCGGTCATTGTACGTCCAACTTTTAAATGACCTTGATTAGGGATAGTTTTGATATTACATTCTATGTTCACTTAATAGGTGCTTCTTTATCCAAGAAATTGTCTTGATACCCTATATTGAATGCCGTCAAATCGAATGGACTCGTTATTTAACTCTAAACCACAATTAAATAGATATGGAATAATAATTTGCAGAAAAATTAAATTGCTCCATACATAAATGGTTTGTTGGGTTTCGTAGTGTCTAACACCACGCGGAATGAAACCCGCCCAAGACCCGCACACTAATTAAAGTAACGAAACATGCAATCACATAATTAAACAACAAAAGAGAGAGAAAGAGAAAAGACAATCTTACCCTCGACGCATGCTTCGCTCGCTTACGAACTCTTACTTGAAAGCTCTAGCCTCGCAAGTGCGTAGGCCTCCGACGGCTCGCACCCTCGACTTGACCAAGCGGTCTCTACCCGGAAGGTTAGTTGGGGCTAGACCAAGGAAGAACTAGAGTAATACGAACTTAAAGGTTTTCTTACTTTCAAGGAGATGTCTTATTGAGTTCAACTCAAGTGCTTTTTCCCAAACCCAAAACTTGGGTATTTATAGGGAAAAGGAGCCTTGAATTCCCATGCCCCATCAATGTGGGAGAATTGCATTTTTCCCAATTTATTTTAATATAACACAAATAAAAATGCAAAATGAATCAACAAGCTCCAAGTGGCACATGGTGAGCAAGGTTAAGTGAGGACCATTTAGGGGAAGAAGGAAGGGGAGGGACCATACCACACTTGCTCCCCAAGCAAACCCCTAAAACCAGTCCCCTCCACAAACCGTGAGTTGGCCTCCCTTGCACAGCTTGCTGGCTGCCCACCTTGGCTGCCAAGGCTACCTAGCTGGCGCCTAGCACCAAGGCTGGGCTGGATGCCAGGTCCACTAGTAGAAAAAATGAAATAGGCACCGCACAATCCGCACCGGTTTTTGAAAACCAGTGCGGAAAAAAATAGGCGGGACTAGGAAATAGAGTTTTTGCACCGGTTCCAACCAAATCGGTGCGAAAAGTTAGTTTTCCCCACCGGTTCAAACCGAACCAGTGCGAAAAACAAACTTTCCCCACCAGTTCAAACCGAACCGGTGCCAAAAATCTTGGTAAATATAAATAATAAACCCGGTCTCTTTCATTTCCTCATCTACCTCTCTCTCTCATCTAGCCTCTCTCTCTCCTCAAAAACCCACCATCACCGAAAAGTTAACCAGTCCAAGCAACCAGTCCACCACCATCGCCTCTCTCTCCTCAGAAACCCATCATCGCCTTTTTCTTCGATCTCCTTCTCCGCCACTACGCCGCAAGCGTTTCCATCGATGGCTAGGGTTTTCAGAAACAATTTTAATTCAATATCTGCAATTTTGTTGTCCTTCTCATCGCTGCTCATGTCATAGCTTTGGTACCCCCGAAATCTAAACTTAGGTTTTACTTTTTTTTATTTTTGATTCATGTTTTTCTGCTATTAGTGTTGTTTAACCCTAATTTTTTTTTTCAGGTTTTAGACTTGTGTATTCAATACATCGCTGTTTGATTTCGTTGTAGACTTCTGATTTTTAGTTGCTAATATTTGGTTTGTGATTATAACCAGAGTATTCCCCACGTTTTATTATGTAGATTTGTATTTTGCTTGCTAAAACCTGTTTGATTTTCTTCTTGCTTTAAGAATGGTGAATTTGTTGTTGCTTCTAAGCTGAATGAGCGATTGTTGAATGTTTAGTGGTGTTTATTTAGCTATGACTGATAATATTTGGTGGTAAGTTGGTAACTATTGAAAAGTTAATGATTATAATAGTTTAAGTGATTATAATAGTGGTTATCAGGGGTATGATAGCCGTAATTGGTATAATGGTGCCTCAGCTGAGGAGATATGTTTAAGACAATGCAACCCAAAAAATAATTTAGAAAACTAAATAATTTAAAAATTTAGTAGGATCACATAGGATCAAGTAGGATCGTACGATCCTATACGATCCTACGCGATCCTATCCGATCCGACAGAAATCCTACCAAACATTGGCTAAAATTCCTTACCATTTAGTTGATTTGTAAGATCGGGTAGGATCAATGGGATCGTACGATCCTACTAAGATCCCGTCTTAATTGCGATTTTGCTAACAATCCAGATCGTTAGGTAAAAATTAGATCGTAGATCCTACGATCTGTATCGCGATCCCAATAACAATGGGTGTAACCTTTATATTCATGAACGGTTTACAAGTTTCTAAAACTTGTTGGCGACTCTTTTTTCTCTAGCTTATTTTCCTTGGAGCGCCGCCATGTCTAAAAACATGACCCACAATAGGGCAGAGTTGAAAAATTCCCTACAGGTAGCAAATACATTTGTTAGATTTCTGCGCCTCGAGAAATCTACCGAATGTCGAATGATAGTCTTCCGCGCCTCAGGAACCAAATCGTTAATAACTACCCCTCGAGCGATCCACTAAATGAAAGGGATGACAAGTCTTCGCGCCTTGGGAAATATGCCGTAGACTCAGTCGCCTCATGTAGTCTACCAAATGAATGATAATCTTCCACGCCTCGTGAAAAGTATCGGATGATAAATGATAGTATTATGCTCCTCGAGAATCCTATCGTAAACTCCTACGCCTCGAGTAGCTCACAACACCATATGTAAGATTCCACGTCTCGGAAATCACACCAAAAAAGGTGTCCGCGCCTCAGGACGAAACTGCAAACCTCTACACCTCGAGAAGTTAGCAACAGTTGACAATTCTCCTATCCTCGGAAAAAGTGCCTGATGATGAAAGATTAAAAGTCTCTGCGCCTCTTGAAACCTGCAATTAACGTATGAGTAGTAATCCTCCGCGCTTTGGGATGATCACTGAATATTGATAAATGTGCCTTCGATTGCCTTCGAAGAGAGGGGAGTCTCCGAACAAAAGTTTTGAATGATGATAATAGCCCCTTGAAGTCATGTGCATTTGACTATATAGGCATTAATTGGTGATGATGATGAAATGTCAATGGTTGCACCTTCAAGTCATGTAATATCATATGGAGTGTACTTTGTATAGTTTTGTTTGTAAATAGATATTTATGTTATTATTGACTTGAAATTATTTTTATTGAACTTAATTATTTTCACTGAACTAAAAGTATTTTTACCAAACTAAAATTATTTTTATTGATTAAAACTTATTTTACTGATTCACTAATATTTTTTTAAATAAATTAAATAACAATGCATTTTGTATGCAGCTAACCACACCATCTAGCCAGACGAAGTAACCCCTATAAAATTGATCGACTAACCCTTATGATAATAACTGAGTAACCTCTAACACTGACTAACTAACCCCTATCTATAACACTTATTGAGTAACCACTATAACACCGACCAAGTAACCCCTATAGCACTAACGAAGTGACTCTAATCTTGTAATAATTGGTGACACGGTTTGGCCAGCTACGTATAAAAGTTTGTGATTAAATATAATATAAATGGATCTAGTTTTAAGGAACTTTTTAAAACGAATTTGATGATGAAAATAGAATTGAGTTATAGGACATTTATTAAAAGTTATGATTAATTTTGTATATATGAAATATTAGAATAATAAAACTCTATGTAACAATTTTATTTTAAAAAATCTATCCAAAAATCGTTTACTTAGCATCATATGTGTCACAATAACACCTATTTATTATCTCTTACGTGGCGCAACACTTGACGAAAAACTGGAATGCCAAGTGTTTCCAGGTTTTCTGTGTCCTTCGAGAGAGTTACAATTCCAAGACCGGATTTCGGGCGCCTATACCTGCAAAACAACGGAGACTCCGGTTGGGTGGGAGTTTCGCCTCCGACGATCAAGTTAGAACGTGTTCGGGCGTAAAAAGTGCGGAATGTAAATGGGATCAGGTTCCTCTTAAGGGAGCAATGATCATCCGGCTATAGCAATCAGCCTTAATATCCAAGTGTAAACTCTCAAGTGTGTTTGATTCTGCAATTAATGCTCTCACTAAATGTTTGTGAATCTTGTTCCCAAGGTGGGAACATCTCCCTTCTATAGAGTCTCGAAGCACGTGCCCAGTCCTAGGTTATAGAAACCTAGGACTGATTGGGCTGCCTAGGAATTTTGGCCTTGAAGGCAGCCATTCCTAGTTAGATATCTGTCTGCCACGTGTCATGCCCTGATTGATCCACTTTGGACTCTTCACTGTGTAACACGTGGTGGACTCTGATTGGTCCACGTGGATGGTCTTGATTGGTCCACGTGGCGGGGTAAAAATCCCCTAATCACCAAGTGTCGTTGTCTCGTGGCCTGGCTGCGAGGCCGACTTTATTTATTAGTGATATGATTAGATTTCTTCTCTTTCTTTAGACCCCCATCATCATTTTATAATATTTCTCTCTCACACATTATACTTAGTGGTCGTTTAATTATATTTTTCTTACTTTTTCAATTTTTTTATTTCTAACTATATCCACATATATATTATTTTACTCTGTTGCTTAAATCTTCACGCACACCCCAATAAGGCACTAAAAAAAACGAAAGGAGTATCAAATAATACGTATATACTCCCTCCGTATTTCAATAAGAGTTACACTTTGACCCGCACATAGTCTTAGGCACTTTAATTAAGTGGGGTAATTGAACTATTAAAAAATAATAAAAGAAAGATAGCGGGGTTAATAATTTATTGAAAAGTAATGAATATGGGGACAAAAGAAATAATATATAAAAAAAGTAATAGTAGGTTTTGGCGGGAAATAATATTATAGTGTACTCCCTCCGATTTTTTTATTTGCATCACTTCCTTTTTATGGTTGTTTTTTTTTTATTTTTTTTTTAATTTTTATTTTTATTTACATTGCTTCTATATATGATAACTCTATACTATATTTTATTATTTCTTTCTCTTGCTTTAAACCCCACTCAATTTATCACTATTCTCTCTCACATACTTTCACTTTCATGGTTTCCACATTACTTTTACCATAATAAATTATTAATCCACTCACATTATTATATTATTATATCAAATTCATTCTCCTAAAACTCCGCGCATTCACAAATGGTGCAAATAAAAATAAACGAAAGTAGTTTTTTGCCAAAAAAAAACGTGTAACACTCGGTAAAACACGGAGGGAGTTGCAAAGAATTGTGTCAATCCATATCAAATCACGTACTCTAAATATAGCATTGCTGATCACCAAAATAATAACAAAAAAAAATAATATAGCATCGTCATTGTTGAACAAAATCTTTGCCAAAAAAGGACTAATCATATTCCGATCCCAAATGTGTATGTAGTCGACAGGATTTTGGGCTTCTTATCAGGCTTCAAATCATCAACTGTGACATGACAACTTACATGAAACTCGAACTGTCTTAATGGGATCGTATCCATAACGACAGTAACAGGAACTTTAACCTGAACGATCAATGGAATCCTTCCCTGATGTTGGTCATCAGTAAGAACCTTATGAAGTTCAGACCCAAACACGGCATTCCCTGCTAATGGGATATTGATCATTGTCACGTTCTCATGTCCTTGATGGAATGCAGGCATCTTACCACTGCATAAAACAGAACCCTCAAAAGAGACCGTGATTGTACTGTCTTTCCCGTAAATGAAGCCAATTCTTGTGTTGGGATTTTCTGCTCTAACAGTAATCATAAAATGTGTACCTATGCTCATGTCAGGCTGTACATTAAAGCTTGTAACACTAAAATCTTCTAATTTGTAAATGGGAATTTTCGGCTTGTAAAAAGTGTAGGTCAAAACAAGGCCTAATGCCATGAAAAATATCAACAGAAAGAGAAGACAATAGACACAACAGATAAACCTGAGGCAGCAATGACACCCTGATCGTCGATTCTCATATTGAGGGATAGCACGTTGTTGGGGATACGGACCATACGGTTGATGAGGTGCATAATAGGGTGGCACATTACCGTATTGGTGTTGCAGCATTACATAGTTTGGTGGCGGTTGGTGTTGACCTGAATACATCTTAAGGAAGGTAATAATATTCAATGGGATATTTTTCCTTGTTTACTTTTACTCTGCTAATATTAGAATCTACGCCATTTCCTCCTTATCATTCAATTTTTTGTCATAGGTTTAGACAAATTAGATGTCCAAAAAATGTGTTTTTGATGAGGTAAAATGATTAAAAGGCAATGTTATTTGTTTAGGGGTACAACCAGGCTAAATATATGCTGCTGATATATAGGAGTTGCATTCTAGGCATGGATAAAAACATATATATCTCCTATTTTGTTGGAATCAATATTAATTGGTTCTATAAAAAGATTGTCTCAACATCCATGTTGAACGAGTCTAGATTAAACTACCTAAATCTTGTGTTTGGGTCCAATTCATCCTCTATTGGGCCTGGTCCACAAATGATGCAATTCAAAACCCAAAGGCAAGGTTCAACTCTACAGCCCAATGCCAAGTCAGTCAACGGTCCGGTCAAAGTGGCAAGCCCACTTGACTCCAAGGGCCCAAGTCCCTTAATTGAGCAAAAGTATAAAAGCCAAAACTTATTTCATTTTACATTCATTCACAATCAGCCTCAATCACTCAAATCTCTTGCATAGCTCATTCTCTCTCTCTGTTAAACACTATATTGACTTTCGCATCAGAGGGGCCTTCCCTGGAACAACCCCCGAGGCTAGTTTTACCTCGGACCCAAAGGATCACATTGCCTCTTACGAGGGGCACATGTATCTCAACCCCAGGTCCGAGGCTACCTGGTGCAAGTATTTTCCAACAACCCTTAAAGGTGTTGCACAATCGTGGATCATCAAGGGGGTAAAATAAGGCTCTATATCTGGTTGGAAAGATCTCTCCAACAAATTCAAGAGCAAATTTTCTATGGCAAACCGCCGAGAGAAGACAACTGCATAACTAATGAGTCTGCAGCAAGCCGAGGACGAAAGCCTCCGTGATTATCTGACTCGCTTCAGCAACGAGTCATCCAGAATTACAAGTCTGGATCAGGGCCTTGCCGTATTTGCGCTACGGAATGGTCTGCAAGTTGGAAAGTTCGTTGACTTCATTGTCATGCATCCCCCGCAAACCTTGGAGGAAGCTTTGGATGCCTCGGATAAATTTATCCGAGTCGAAGAATGGATCAAGACAAAATCTCAGTCCCAATCAGGGGCTGGGAAAGCTAAAGGACAACTGTCTAAGGGCCCGACATCGAGGAAAGGGAAGGACAAGGCCTCAGAACCGTCCTCGGCTGCCGAGCTGAAGAAAGAAAAGATCGCCCCCTATACGGGGAGATACGATTCTTAAACTCCCCTTACTCTTCATCATGCTAAAAATCTACAGCACGACCAAACACGAGGGGAGTTCAAGAAGCCGAGCCCGCTGCCACCATGGCATCAGCAGAAAGGCAAAGACCGATGGTGCGAGTTCCACGAATCTCCTGGACATCGCACCGAGGACTGCCTCCAGCTGAAGGACCAAATCAAAGATCTGCTTCGAAAGGGCTATCTGAAGAAGTACTTCGCGGATCGTCCCGAGGAGAAAAAAAGCCGAGAGAGACTATTGGAAAGATCTGGATTTTCTCCGGAAAAAGATAAGCAACAAGACAAGGACACCCTTGACATTCTTGCCATTTTTGGAGGAACTTCTCGAAGCGCAGTGAAACGTCATTTGAGGGGTTTAACCCCATCAAATAAATCATGTCGAGCTCCGAGCGCCTCAATCTCCGGTGCCGAACATTTTGCTCATAGCCAAAGATTCTAAGGGGGTGGTGTACCCTCATGATGACCCATTGGTGATTGTAATGGGCATTGCTAACCGCAACGTCTGGCGAACCCTTATTGACGGCGGTAGCGGGGCGAATATCCTCTTTCGGGGAGCATTGGACCAGCTGAAGTTGGAGGCCAAGCACTTAACTCCGGTACCCTACCCGGTATCCGAATTCAATGGCTCTTCATCATATCCAGATGGGAAGATCCTTCTTCCTGTCACCATCGGCAAAGGCCGAGCAGCACGAAGCATCATGGCTGAATTTCTGGTCGTGGATGCCCCGTCTGTGTATAATGTGATCATGGGGAGACCCATCATTCACGATATTCAGTGAGTTCTCTCGACATACCATCAAGTAATGATATATGTTTCGGATGAGGGACACTCTGAAAAAATAAAGGGAAGCCAAAAGGAAGCCCAAAGATGCAACCACCTCAAGCCATCCAAGGGTTGTCGCGACGAACGGGATGATGAGGAGGAAAAAGAGCAGGACCGTTGCGCGAAAAAGCCTAAATGATTAAGTACTTCGGCCCAAGGAAGCCCAACAAAAGAACAATCTTTGGGGGAAGAAAAGGCTAGTTCTTCGTCTGAGCCGAAAGACTCAGAAGATCAGCCAGAGTCTGGGAAGTCTGCTGATATTGACAACAGACCTGAATCCGAAGAATCCAGTGCCAGAGCTATGGAACTGGATAATCAGACAGAGTCAATAAAGTCAGCCGAAGGAAATTCTAAAGATGTGTCAGCATCGGACTGGGACTCGAACCAAACGTTCGTGCTGAACTAATCCAACTGCTTCGGGGTAACAATGATGTGTTCGCGTTCTCGGCATCAGAAATGCCCGGGATCGATCTGAATCTCATCTCTCACAAGCTTAATGTCGACCCGGCATGCCGCCCCATTAAGAAGAAAAGGCGGAACTACTCTGCTCAGAAGAACCAAGACATCGCAGCCGAGGTAAAAAAACTCTTGGATGCAGGGTTCATTGAACCTTGTCAATATCCGGAATGGTTGGCTAATGTTGTGATGGTTCTGAAGGCAAATGGCACCTACAGAATGTGCGTTGACATCACAGATCTAAATAGGGCATGTCCGAAAGACTTCTATTCCTTGTTGAGGATAGATCAGCTAGTTGACTCGACAAGTGGCCATGCTCTGCTTAGCTTCATGGACGCATTTTCTGGGTACCATCAGATCTTTATGCACCCCGATGACCGAGCAAAACCACGACATTCGTTGCAAGTTCCAAGGTGTACAATTACAAAATAATGCCCTTCGGATTGAAAAATTGAAAGGACTGATGTCCTTCCAACAAGTGTATTATTCCGGTAGAGGGTTCAAAATTATTATAAAGCTAATTCTTCAGTAAGGTCAAGTGATCGGAATGCCTAGGTGGAGGCCGCTTCTGATCAGTAATATTAATGTACAATTAATATTACAGCTTAATCTTTACTGACCCCTTCAGGTCGAACCCAATCGAACAACCGATCCAAGACGACGAATCAATCCGAAGGATTTGATGAGTTATCAGAGTATTACGAACAAAGACGTCGGATATCGAGCTTAAAGCGTCGAGACCGAGCGTCGCAAGTCGAGTCGAATTTGGAATTCGACGAGACGTGAAATCAATCAAGTAACAAGTTCGAGCCTAGCCGTAGCCTCGCATTGGCCTAGCCATGTGAGTGCTAGGCTAGGCAAGGTCCCAAGCAATGCGTGCCTAGCATCCCTTAGCACATGCACATCGCATGGCACAAACATCGCAAGATGCGTGCATGCATGTGGTATGGCTTTGCATGCGTGGCTAGGCGTAGCCATCGCATCGTGCTAGGCATAGGCTTGCACAGCCCGCAAGCATCGTAAGCATGGTGCGTGCTTGCTAGCATGCTAGGCCAAGCACCCATCCATCACTAGCCGCAAGCATCGCACATGCTAGCAGCGTGCTGGGCTGTTCGTGCTTGCTAGCGTGCTAAGGCCTGGTGCATTGCTAGCAGCAGCCTCGCACATCGCACAGCACCACGCACCAGCTAGCAGCGTACTGGGCATGTTGGGTTGTGCGAGTGTGCTAGCAGGCAACAGCCTCGCATAGCAGCTCCCAACACCATGCACCAAGCATCAGCGAGGCATGCGTGTTGGCTGGCCTTGTGCTGGCTGGCTGCGCATGCATTGCGAGCTAGTTGTGCGTGTGTGCTAGCTGGCTGGATGGGCTGCCCAGCCTTGGTGCAAGGTGCCAGCTGGCAGCCTTGGCAGCCAAGGTAGGTTGCCAGCCAACCACATGGAGGAGTAGTCCGGTTTGTTGTGTGGGGACCAATGGTTGGTCATTGCCTTGGGGAGAAAGGTGGGTTGGTCCCCTCCCTTGGTGGTCCTCACCTTCTCCCTCTCCTCACATTGCCACTTGTAACTTGTTGAATGAATTGCAATTTTATTTTTTTTTGATTAAAATAAAATAGGGAAATTGCAAATCTCCCTTATTGATTGAGAATGGGAAATCAAGGTTCATTTTCCTATAAATACCCAAGTTTTGGGATTTAGGAAGAACACTTGATTTGAACTAAAAAGGCATCTCCTTAGAAAAGTGAGAAAACCTTAAGTTCATAAAACTCTAGTTTTTATTGGTCAAGTCCAGACTAACCTTCGGGACTAGGACCGTTCGGGTCGGGTTTGTGGGTACGAGCCGTTGGAGACCTTCGCATTTGCAGGGTTCGGGTTTTGAAGTAATAGATCGAGATCGAGCGAAGCACGCGCCAAGGGTATGAATGTCTTTTCCTTCTCTCTCTTTATTGTTGTTTAATATGTGATTGCATGCTTAGTTGCCTTAATTAGTGGGCGGGTCTTAGGCGGGTTTCTCTTCCGTGTAGAGTCGGACTTTACGAAACCGAACAGCGGTATCGGAGTCGCGCTCACTTTAATTTTTGTAACTAATAATTAATTAAGGTGATTTAAAATGGATTTAAATTTCTGGTTGTGCTTTCTAATTGGATTAGAAGCTCGTTTTTAATTAGTTTTAATCTCGCATTTTTTCTAATTTCGGCTGACGAACCCAGATTTTGACTTAAAAATAGTGATTTTTGGGTGGAATCGATGTTCTAAACCGTTTTTTACCATGTTTTTCACCGGGTTATTCGTTTTTGACGATTTTTTTTTAATCTTTTAACCTTGATTAATTATTGCATGTTGAAGGTAGATTAAATGTATGGTTGCATCCCTAATCTACTGCAATTATAAACCTCATTAAGCATGTTTATGAAGTCATAATTGGTGCTTAATTTGGTATGTTTATTTTTGCATAAACTTGATTTTTTAAAATTGTTGCAAATAAATTGCTTCAAGTGTGAATGTTTATGGTGAACTTGTAATTTTGAAGTCTCTAATATTTCAAAGATCCAATCTTTAGTTATTTATTTGTTTGTAACTTTGATTGCTGAATTCCATGTTGAAATATTTTTGGATTTAATCATTTTGTGTTGATTAAAGTCCTAAAAGTTCGAAACTTGTTATTGAAATTAAATTAATCTTCATGTTGGAAGATGTTATTTTTCAATTTTTCACAAGTTATTGTTGGAAATTTTTCATTGGATGAAAGGGTTTAATTTTCCAACCCCTTTAATTTTGTCAAATCTCATTATTAATTTACATTTGATTAAATTAATTATGAGTGTAGCCCTTCAATTTTATAGCATCAAGATAGACCTAAATTGATTTAAAGAATGGTTCTTGAATAATTTAGGGTTGTGCACTATTAAAATTGAATTTAATTAAGTTCGACTTATTTTAATTTTCATTTTGCTCTAAATTGATTCTAAAATAAATTTAGATTAATTTTATGTCACACATATATCGGGATTAAAATCCCGAAATAATAGCACGCTAATCGAGGTAAAATCACCCAAACACCACCAAGGCTAGCCTGGCTGCTCACGCAGCCCACATGTGGCTGCCTTAGTGCGCATGGAGGTGCTCCCACCTCAAAGTGATGCGGCTGTGTGGCAGGCTAGGAGTGCACAATGGGGGGTGCTTGATGCTTGTGGTGCGTGGCTGCTGGAGATGCTCGCAAGCCCCAGTAGGCTCGATTAGGATAGTAAATATGGACTGCGATGTGTTATGTATTTTTGTGAATCAAAATACGGTCTGTGTACCGTTGCATATTTTTGTACCTTAATATTTAGATTAATCCTAGTCGTAGTCGCTAGTAATTTCATTTTAGCGGGGATGTCTCAAGACGACGTATTCTATGAAGACGAGCCAAGATGGTGCATCGAAGACTCTTGAAGATTTGAAGATTTCAAGGGGTCATGCTAGTTGCCAAATGCATCTTATTTCATGTTTTCTATTTATATAATTATAATTATATATGTGAATGATATGTTAGATGCATGTTTAGGATTTCAAATGTTGCGATGATTAAAAAGTTCACTTAAATCAACCAACATAGAAACCCTAGGTCCCTATAATATTGAGCCAAATTTGTCATTCTAAGAACGAAACTTACCAAACTAATGCGCGTGGTGATGGGCTACACCAAAGCGAGGCATCACTGCTTCCCT